TAGGTTGGCAGAAGCTGGGACAAGTCACGGGAGCTCACTCCGTTACACGGAGCTGGGGATTCGAACCACCGACCTTTCTGATCGACAAGCTCAGCATCTTAGCCACTGAGCCACTGCGTAAATAAGCACGTATATATCTCTGATTCCCCACGACTTCTGCTTCTTCCACCGCGGTGCCTATTAATGGGAAGTTGTTCAGCTGCCGGATGATTTATTAACAAACGGCTCATCCCGATTGAGCCTGGCATGATTTCCCTTTCTGCATTAAAAGTATTTGTGACACCAGAGAATCCTACCTGACAAAATAATATTTATCATCCAGGGACAACTGAACCCTCTAGTGGAATCAGCGGTGCATTGCAAGGGTCTATTTATAGCAGCCGGAAAGACAAAATGCCCATCCACTGCAGGTTCCATAAGGCCACTTTGGGAGTTCTTGCTAAAGAGAAAGCGGCAAGGAAGGGGATGCTTTTGATGTCTTCAAAAAGAAAACAGGTTGCTTTGAGAAACTCAGACGATACATTCTTTAAAAAGGGTGACCACTAAAGAAGGAATCTCAATTCCACATCTCCAAATCTTTATTCTCTTTTGTCTGAAGAATATAAAAGCCAGAGCAGAAGACCTCCAAGGCCCCTTCAAGCTCTACTCTACTCTACTCTCCATTCCATTATTCCATTCTATTTTATTCCATTCTATTCTATTCTGCTCTACTTTATTCATCACTCCATTATTCTATTCCATTCCATTCCACTCCACTCCACTCTTCATTCCATTATTCTATTCTATTCTGCTCTACTTTACTCTATTCATCACTCCATTATTCTATTCCATTCCGTTCCATTCCATTCCACTCTACTCCACTCTACTCTTCATTCCATTATTCCATTCTATTCTATTCTATTCTACTCTACTTTATTCATCACTCCATTATTCTATTCCATTCCACTCCACTCTACTCTTCATTCCATTATTCTATTCTATTCTATTCTGCTCTACTTTACTCTATTCATCACTCCATTATTCTATTCTATTCCATTCCACTCCACTCTACTCT